TCTGCCAACTAACTACGTGACTGTAAATAAGTAGATACCACTTTGGTAGGAAAAATAATGCTGCTGTGTTCAGAAGTACAAACCCAATCAGTGCTGGACTTGCCTAAATCTGATGCCCAAATGCAAGGTGACATTGATGGAGGAAAAAAAGCCCAGGTAATGCTGCAAAATATTAGTTGTCCCCTATAGTGCGCTTCTGTACAGCGCACAAGTGTGAACCAAATGGAGTAGCAGTCTTAGGCAGCCAAATAACTATTCTGTGTTAACCCTTTCATCTCCTGGCTAATGTACCATCGCCATACGCTAAATAAATGTTTAATTCCATTAATAATAATTCTACGTTGTCCATTTTGGAATCCCTCCAGTCTAAGCATACAATTTTGATCACAATTATCAGTATGCTCATCTTCATCAGTTCTGTTCACTATCAATGAAAACAACTTTTTATTAAATAGTTGCACCTTAATTATAGTTGTAAATGGATTTAAACTACTTCAGATCTTCCAGAAAATAAGGTCAATAAGGCTAAAGTGGCTAGATTGTTGAATTAGTTGCAACCTTGAATTGATAATAATGTCTTGTTCTCAATAAAAGTGCATAGAATAATGCTTTTAATACTGCCCATGTTCTTGTTACATGTTCTCTGTGTATCTAAACAAAATAAAATAAAATTATTGCTGATAGGTCTTAAAAGATCAACTGACCCCTAAAGGCAAATTTATAAGGACTTTAAGTTCTCGTACATTTCTTTTCTGGATAGTTATTAATGCAGATTAATAAAATATTGCTATTGCATAACAGCTACTTGAAAACCTTTAGGTTCTCCAGTTCTTAGATTTTCATTCATGTCTAGCCAGCCAGTGATGATACATTTGGAGTCCATCAACCATAGTATGATACAGATTCCAAACATTTTACAAAATATACTGTGAAAATGTATTTTCAATAGTAACCAATTAAGCTATATTCTCCAATGAAGATTTGAGTGACGTGAAAGTGAAAGAGATTATACACAGTCCTAAACCCTGTCGTGTTATTGCAGATAGACATGGCTGTAGCAGAATAGACAAGAAATGCTGTACAAGCAGAAGAGATGGAAGCTAAAGTGAAAGTTCAAACTGCTCAGGCTATTGCTGATGATGCACAGAAGTACCTAGCAGAAGACCTCCCTGCTCTAGATGCTGCCCTGGCAAGCTTGAGGAATCTCAGCAAAATGGTGTAACTGAGGCAATAAACAGAAAAGAAAGAGGATAGATTTTAGCACAAATTTGGTACAAGCATTTTTGGGGTATCTGCGATGTGATCACAGGGGGTCTACAAAGGCTTGAATAAATGTTATGATTTCAATCTTAAATTTTGGGGGTCCATGGCCATGGTCCATAGTCACACAAGATATTTAAAGGGGGCCCGTGGTGAAGAAAAGGTTGAGAACCACTGAGTTAGGCCATATGCCATCTAGTCCTTTATGACTTGTCACTATCATGCCACAGCAGTTTCAAGCTTTGAAGGAGCTACCTGATCAACATTTGGTTTCCATCTCCTTTGGACAAGATGCTAATCCACAAGCTATTTCCTTCCCAGGTTATTGAATGTAGTGGCCCAGGAACTGATATAGTAGCTATGATAAGTCAATCATTCCCCCCCTGAACAAAGCTAGATTTTGTACCAATTCTGAGTCAGTCTGGTATAGTCATTTGGTTCTTGAATTAGGAATGGGAAGACCTAATTCCTGTCATGGAAGTTCACAGGATGATTTTGGACCAATCAGCCTCTCTCTCAGCCCAGTCTACTTCACAGGATTGTGGTTGAGAAAAACAGTTTTTGTGCTGGGCTTAGCACAATAAGCCCATACCAAATATACATGCCAAATAGTATTCTAACCAAAGATTAAATGTTTATTTGCCTCTTGAATCATACATCCCATGCCATAGCAAGTAGGAATTAGATTACAAATGCTCTTCAATAGAAATCTCTATGGGGCAATTGGATCTCTAGCTGAAGTTTAGTTCATTGTCATGTTTTCTAGTCACAATCTTCTTTTGGGCTTGTATAAGATTAGAGTTTCATTTAATATTGCACACATGGACTCACAGTTGATAAGGACATTCAGGACTGGCTCATGTATCAGTTTTCTCTATTAATATTGCTATTTGTAGTATCACTTGTAAGATTCAGCCAGGCAGTTGTCAGCCTCTGCTCCATTTTCATGAACCAGCCATCTGAATAGATTTATTTTTGGTCTCTAAGTCGATCAGGGTGTCCCTTGCAATTAGATAAACTTCTAGTGTGATGTTAAGTTGCTCCAGAAATTCTGACATTTCCTGCAATGAAGAATAGTCAAAACAAGTGTGCGAAAAGCAGCATGTGATTTGTTAAATTTACATGGGAGGGGGCTTGCTACCCAAATTTCATTTAGAATCTCAAAGGGAGAAAAGTTAATTATGGCAGGATAGACTGATTGTCTGAGTATTTTAGGATGTCTGCACATATATAACAATAATGTAGTAGAAGAACAGAATGTGACATATAAAGGACAAAGACCATTGCATACCTGAGCACGAAGCATTAACTTCTTGGAATCATAATACATCAAAGAGTACATTGCCTTGTTCTCAATCACTGGTTTAAGATACTGGGGATTTTGACTTTTACTGATTAGATTCATTTGTTGTTATAGAAATGGCTACTTTATACTATTACGGAAAAGTAAAAAGTTGAGGTTAGATGTTAATATTTCATTCTACTGCAACAGAGGACGTCAATGCCTTTTCTTTTCTTTTTCCCTTGTCCCCCCTCATTTTTCCCCTTCTTCCTCCCCACTGTGTCCTACTATTTACTTTTGCATTTTTGTATTTTATTCCATAATTTAATACAGGTAATCCCCCAAGTACAAACGTTTATTTAGTGAATGTTCACAAAAACGAATTAATTCAGAAAGAGTACTTACATTAGAAAAGTACGAGCAAACTGCGAGCAAAAAGAGGCCTGTGTAGATATGTGACTTGAATTTAGTCCCTGCTGCAGCCGTGGCCATTTTGAACTTTGTGACTTGCCTGGGGGTTCGGCTTACGATGCAGGCAGGACTTTTTGTTGTTGTTGTTGTTGTTGTTGTTGTTGTTCCTGGTCACATGGCCAAACAAGAGCCGAGCCAGTGCTGAATTTTTTTGTTAGTGCTGGTGGAGAATCTGCTGCTGCTTGGGCTTCAGGACTAAGTACTTACTTACTACTGTATTTTTAAGTACAGTACTTGTAGAAATGCTAGCCAGACTCCTCACAAAGCACTTTATAATGTTGTGTTTCTTTGCTTTTATTTTGGAGATTAGCATATATTACTATAGTTTTAAATTGAAATTGCCTCCAGACATTGTGGGTGCCCCGTTACTGAAAACTTTTAAGAAGAGACTAGATAGGCATTTATCAGAAACAGTGCTTTTTTTGTAAAAAAAAAAAAAAAAAAAAAAAGTGCTGGAACTCACACACGTCATACAACCCGCCTTGCCTACCCTACAAGGTTCCATCCAAAAAAGGTGCCGGAACTCCATTCTGGGCGTTCTATGACAAAAAAAGCCCTGATCAGAAATATAGTACTCTCTTGTGAGAGCAGTGGGTTAGACTAGATCAGGGGTGACAAACTGCCAGCCCACGGGCCGGATGCGTCACAACAAAACCACACCCACCCCATTGCCGGCAATGGGGAAAAAGTTCCGATACGTCGCACAATGTCCCGTGACATCGCGAGTTTGACATGCCTGGACTAGATGATCGCAAAGTCTCTTTCATCTCTGTTACTGTTGCAAGGCAACAGTTCTGTAAACCCTCCCCATCTGCCTCTGAATGCCTGGCTGGAGACTTAAGCTAATTAGTGGCAACTGCAAAAATCTTTGCAAAAGCAGATGGAGCCTGCTTGCAGACATTTAGTTCCTGAGCAGAAGCAAACAGCTGATCAGCAGCAGGCAGCAGCGGGAAGACCTCTCAGTTCAAGCAGAAATAGTAAGTCATATCTTAGTTCATTTAACAATCCATTTGATTTAATTAATGAATTTGATTTTAAAAATTTGTAAAATTGAATCTGATTCATTTGACAATTTTTTTGACTTACGAAACTAATGGGCAGGCTCCATTAGGTTTGTACCTTGAGGACTACCTGTAAAATGTTACAAACCGTAAAAAAAAAAAAGGAAAAATGTACCAGTTTTAATTTCTTCAGTGGCTGAATCACTTTCCCTTTGCAAATGTATGATGAATTTATCCATATCCAGTGGTGAGATTCAAATATGTGAACAATCATTCTCTGTGTGGATGCCGCTTCTGGAAGTCCATTCTGGGCTTGGGCAACAAAAAATTAGCTACCGGTTCTGCCGAAGTGGTGCGAACTGGCTGAATCCCACCACTGTCCATATCTATTAATATGCACCACAACCTTGGTGGTCAGCTGGCTGGTCAGCCCTTCTTTCTCTTTCCCTCTCCTCTCTTTTTTGTACTCCCTGCCTGCTGGGCTGTCTCAGCCAACACCACTGTCTCAACAATATAGTGATTCTAATAGGAATTAGGGGGAACTGGCCCTAATAGTTCACTCATTTTAAATGGAAGAAAACATAAATCTCCAATTAAACAGATGCTGAATATCCATTGCTGATGCCAGTGTTTCTTTCACACTCCAGGACACAGAAAAATCACTTCGCTGAATAGTTTTGTGTACAATATCATTGTCATTTACCACAATCCCATCTTCTGTGCAAGGCACATTGCCCTAAGCCATTATGTAAGGTCTGCACAGAAAAAGATGCAAAACTATCAAGTTTGTGACACCAAGTTAAGAAATATAGTACTTCAGGATATTAAGTACTGGTCAGTTTAAAAAATTGTGTGGCTGCAATAATACAATATATGATAGCTGGGAGGTCCTTGAAATGTGTTCAGATTATAACTTTCAACTCAACATTGAGTGGGAATTCTGAGAGTTCCAATCCCATTTAATAAACACACAGTACTATAGGAAATTTTCAGCTAATTTATAGAGGGAGCAGTGTACTTCTAACTTACTGTACGCATTTTTTTGTTCACCATACTCTTTCAATAACCCTACTTTCAAAAGAAATATACATATGAAGCAGGACAAAGTAACACTTTTGTATGTATGTACAACCTTAACTGAATTGTGTTAAAGATACACATTACTGCAACAATTTTATTAATAATTGTGAAGATGCATTGTGTAAACATATCTAAATCAATATAATAAAATGTATGAAATTTTTCCAACTACATTTGTTCTTTCGACAGTCAAAATTCAGGATCAAATACTTTTTCCCTTGAAATATCACAATCTTTCTCTTAGCATGAGAAATGCTGATGGTGCAGTAGCTGCAGGAATATGAGGATACATGTTCGATTAGCAAAGGAGCTTATTATTGCTTCTTCTGAAAGAGGCCAACTGAAACATCATTGGTAGGCTCAGGCATGATCTGGATCTTTTGGTTCTTCAGAGCTGCCTCTCTCATCTTGTAATACATAAATTCATTCTGCTGGAACATGCGCAGCTCCATCTCAGACTGGATACGCATGGCCTAAATGAATGTAAAGAAACTGCAAGTTACAGGAAATTCAATTTTCGATGTACCATCCTAATTGTAATCTGTGGAGGAAATCCTGACTTTTAAAGTTAAGTCTTTATCACAGGCAGCTATTCTTATCACAGTACTCTGTGCAAATCAATAAACATTCCCCACATTCTACTAATGCTATTAATTATGTCTTTATATTATTTCAATAAATGCTAGTCATGTAGAACACTAGGGAATTATAGCTAATTCTTGACATAGACAAATTGCTACATAGATTTACTTCCAACAAATTTGACAGTAAGTATCAAAAATAAAAAAATATTAATCACACGATAATCTCTGGATCTAAAAGATATTTCATCACACTTGTAAAACTTACTTCCAGATCTTTGGTAATTGGATGAGTAGGTCCATGTGTCACCAAAAGAATAGCATAAGCTTTGCAAAGCATCCCATGGCCTGCTTCAATAAGCCCAGCATGCCAATGGGTGACCCCAGCTCTCATGAGGGCCATCCCAAGCTGGGCATTTTTGGGATGATAAAGTTTTCTGAGGGCAAAAGAGAAGAAGCACATTGTACATGGTGCAAGATATTTCTTTGGGAAAAAAAGAACCTTTATTTTAAAACTTCTCATAGAATAAAAGACAAAGCAAAAGAGGGAGGGAGGGAGGAAGGGAGGAAGGAAAGAAGGAAAGAAAAAAAAGAAGGAAAGTTAAAAAATACAATAACTTCCAATCTTCTTTTCAACCAAGAGTTGCAATCTTATAATCCCGCTTAGATAATATTCAAGTCCCTACAGCCCTTCATGTAGGGACTACTGTAATGCTCTCTACATGGGGCTTCCCTTGAGGAGCACTCGGAGGCTCCAGTTAGTCCAGAATGCGGCCGCGCGAGCGGTGATGGGAGCGACTCATTGCTCCCACGTAACGCCGCTATTGCGCGAGCTGCACTGGCTGCCTGTGGCCTTCCGAGTGCGCTTCAAGGTGTTGATTATCATCTTTAAAGCGCGCCATGGCATTGGACCTGGTTATATCTGAGACCGCCTTCTGCCACAGATTGCTTCCCACCGGCCGATACGCTCCCACAGAGAGGCCCTCATCAGGGTGCCGTCGGCCAGACAGTGTTGGCTGGCGACCCCCAGGGCAAGGGCCTTCTCTGTCGGAGCACCCACCCTCTGGAACGAGCTGCCCCCAGAGATCCGGGTCATTCCGGATCTCCCCTCCTTTCGCCGCGCCCTTAAGACCTGGTTGTTTCAGCGGGCAGGACTGGCCTAGGAGTATTTTAAATTGTTTTTTAGCCAAATTTTAGTAGAAGCGGCCGATTATATATTTATTTTTAATGATTTTTAAAATTTCTATTGTATTGTATTAAACTGTTTTTAACTGGCTGTAAGCCGCCCTGAGTCCTACGGGAGAAGGGCGGGGTATAAATATAATAAAATGAAAATGAAAATGAAATGTGATCTCCTATAAGGGCAAGTTTTAAGTAAATGTGTCTGCATCTCCAAGGAGCAGGTCAAAGAGTGAGGAAGCAGTAAAAAAGGGAGACTTCTGCTGAGTGAAGTTTACTGTTTTAAAAATGATATTATGAATAGCTAGTAATATACAGAACACAAATATGCAAAGAAAGGGGATGTTAGTAACATACAGGTAACCATCCACCATCTGCTTTGAATAACCAGAAGCCTCATCGAAGAGCTGGAGATAAGAGAGAACTTCAGACAAGATGCTAAGAATTCGCAGCAGATAAATATTGGTTTCTCCCAGCACTGGTTCCTGCTTTGCTAAACACTCTCGGCACAATTTCACCACCTGTCACCACAAAGAACAAAATAATCAAAAAGAGGAACTGAATAGAACAAAGAAATCTGCCTCTAGAAGTCATAGCTCTAATGAAAGGTCAATCTCAAGTGTGGACACGAGTTGTTTCTGTAACCAGTCCCCCCACTAATTTCAATGTTTTATCAGTCATCTGGATTAAATGTAAAGAAATCATTCCATGTTGGTGAAATAATAATGCAATAGCACTGGGTACAGTTCTATACTTTTATAAAGTCTAAGTGTGACTCCAAGTTATCTAAAGCCTTTAAAACTGAGTTCTTTCAAGGTACGGGATGTTCAAGTTGCACTGATATTGAGATTTTTATCTTTTGTTTGTGTAAGAACAGTTACTTTTTATCTTTTGTTTGTGTAAGAACAGTTAAACTATTATTAAGATATTCAGTTGTATTGCTTGGAAGTTGATATAGGCTTTTCTTTTTCTTTTTCTGGTTTTGTTTTTACTATTGCTAATCTTATTAATTACCTAATGCCAACTAAAACTGAAGCCAATGTCTTCCGCAACTATAAAAGTGTAAAACAGCAGGTTTGTCCCAGGAATTTTAGTTTCTATGAGATGGCGGGCATGAACATCAGAATTGCCTCTTTCTTTACTTCATCTGCCTTCCTTTCACTTTTTGAAGGAACAGGTAGTTGCCTCAACTGTCTTTCCAGGCTGTGCATTCTGGACCTCCCTGGAAGTATGGGCTGCATCCCTTAGATCAGGGCTTTCAACCTGTTCACCCATTGTACCACTTTTAGGATATGGCAACATCCAACTACCTAGCAAGGTGTCAAAAACTTGATGACCCCCCCCCCAAAAAGGAAAAAAATGATAAAGTACAGGTAGTCCTCGACTTACAACAGTTCGTTTAATGATTATTTGAAGTTACAATGGCACTGAAAAAAGTGCCCCCCAAGCCATAGCCGAGCAAGACACCTGCCTACCCACCCGGCTGCGTTCTTCCTCCTGTCCGAGGTTTTCATTGTTGTGAGCATTTCTGTTGAGGATTGGAAGCGGGGGCGGGGGTGTTTGGTTTTTATTCCCCCCCTCTGCTGGGTGGTTGCAGCAGGTTTTGGTCACTTCACATGACTCTGGGACACTGTGACCGTCACAAATATGAATCAGTGGCCAAGCATCTGAATGTAACTCACAAGACCTTGGAGATGCTGCAACATTCCAGCTGATCGGTGCTTCTTCTGGGCTCAGCAGAAGTGCCAGGATCAGTGCCGAGCTCCAGCTGGAGCCTGGCGCTGATCCTGGCACTTCCACTGAGCCCTGACAGCCCCAAAGAAGCGCTGATCCTGGCGCTTCCGCTGAGCCCTGACAGCCCTGCAGCTCCAGCCATCTCTCACTCAGGTTTGTGCAGTGCTGCCACAGCTCATTCCCCTCCCCCGCTACCACTTTTCTAGGATGGTCGGGTACCACCTGCCAGGTGCCAATGTATCACAGGTGGTACCTGTACCACTGGTTGAAAAGCCCTGTCTTAGATTCCCCCAATTGTGCATCAAAGTGGAAGTACTGGAAATAAGCTATTATAGTCAAATTCTTTCACATCACCAGTGAGTTTTTTATGCATATGAACACTTAACTAAATATCCCTGTAATTATTAAATTCAGTTAAATTGAATTAGATCTGGTTGAAATGTTCTCCCAATATTATGTCAGTTTCAAATGCCCTCTATTTTTTTGTCGGCATGAAGCAGGTAAAACTCTGCAAGCAGAAATTTATCAATCTTCATCTTTGCAGAAGGTAGAAGATAGAAAATTAGATTATATAGGAAAGATAATTCCATATAAAAGCCCATAAGATGTATTTTAGGACTTATTTAAATAAATGTTCTAAATTATAAACTTTGTGAGCAATTCCTTAAAATACAGTAAAATAAATCTAATCATATGAGTTTTAAGTCAATCCGTTATTTATACTGTCATTTTCACTTTCAAAATAATATGAAATAATGCTTCAGCTTGCAATATTTTGCTATTTTGTTTACAGTGAGGAATACAATAAGATGATAACATTTTAATCTGTGTTAATGGTATTTATTGTTACATATTATGTATGTTTTCTTTAGTATTTTGTACTGAATTGTAGCATTTTTGGCTGATCTTTGACTGTAATAAATTGAAACACTTGTATAAATGTGCATATATTTTCATAGATTTAAAACCAATAATGGGAGAGAACCAGAACAAAACTACATGCTTTATAGCTTAGATCAGTGATGGCAAACCTTTAAGAGACTGAGTGCCCAAACTTCAACCCCAAACCCACTTATGCATTGTCGAGTGCCAGGTGGGTGTGGCCCATTGGCTGGGTGTGGCCCATTGGCTGGGTGTGGCCAATTGGGTGGGCATGGCTGCGGTGGTAACGGCAGACTGGGTGGGACTAAAAAGTTCAATCAATCAATTCCAACTTTGCAAGATCTTTTTTTCCCCGCGAGAAGTTGAAATTGACTGATTGAACCTTTTTTTTTTTTGCACATGGTGTCGGAGGCCTAAAGTGAAAAGGTTTTATAAAACCCAGCTGAAGGCCTAGGACTGGGGCGACAGCACACGTGCCCACAGAGAGGGCTCTGAGTGCCATCTCTGGCACCCGCCACCACTGGCTTAGATCATCTGGAGATTAATCCCATGAACAAAAGTCATATTTATTTTGTCTAGATTAGCACCATCCTTTCAACCAGCATTTCCACAAAAGGCAGCTCCACATTTTTAATCTCCCATAGAAGCATCTGAAATGTAATAGTTGAAGACTAAACCAATATACATTTTGGTTTTGAGACAAGCAGTTTTAGTTGATCCTCTGGACCAATTAATTTAAGAGGATGGTGTTGAGATTGAGCAAAATGGGAATTTCATTCATGTATTTATATGTCTGTATATCTATCTATCTATATCTCTATCTATAGCTATAGCTATATAATTTGAGGTACGGTAATTACAATACAATAATACAAAGAGGCAGATATTCATGAGGGATGATCATTGTTGCTAAAATTCAAATGCATCAATAAAAACCAAAACTACTGGCACCAAAAAAAAAACCCAGATATTGCTGGCCTATCATAATGGCCTCTATGAGAGCGACATCCTAACCCTAGATTGGCAGGGGTGGGGAATAGCAGAAAAGGCTATCTCTCATACTCCATATAATGCATTTTTCTCAAAAGTGGGGTACCATCACACACACAATTCTGTTAGAATTGAGCTGGCAAATTTTTGGCAGGGAGAGGATACACCTTAAAGCAGGATAGGATCCCTAGAAGTAACAAGACTGAGCTTTTTGTTCCATTTTTAACTATTATGGAAAAGTCATTTTCCTAAGCACTTTCATTTCCTTATTTTCAAAAAATGGCAGACAGTTGCCATTATTAGGCTGTTTATTGCTGAATTTTGAGGTTCACAGAAAAGGCGTTCAGATGGCCCACACTGGAGTCCTAGGGAGATGGAAAAAGATTGCCCTGTACCACTTAAATTACTGTGAAGGATGTCATTGCAGAAAACCCGGTGTCCAATAACTTACTTCATGGTATACTCCTTCAGAACGAGCTTTGTCAACTTTTTTCATGGTTTCCTTGGAGACCTGAATGACCTCTTTCACCACTTCTTGGGATGGCTGTGAGAAATAAGGGAAAATTATTGGTGTGTGCTTCTTCATTTTTCCTGTCAAAGAGCATCATATAACAAACCTAATTATCTTTTTATTATCAAGGTCATGTCTTGGAACAAACCTTGCAAGAGTCACCTTAGCTCATTTATTCCTATTGGAAGAGATTCAAAGAATGGTAATGAAGACAAACAGGATACTGTCTTATAAATAAGCTTGAAGGAGGAGGATGTGTTGAGTTTTGAGAAGAGACACTGAGAGATTTTGATGGCTCTCTTCAAATAAATGAAAGGATGTCACATAGAGGAAAACTAAAATTTATTCCCTTTTTCCAGAGGGTACAGGATAATAATAATAAAAGTAAGTTACAGAAAGGCTAATTCCATTTAAATGTTAGAAAAAACTTCCAAACAATAAGAGAAATCTGACAGTACCATCAATTACCTAGAGCAGGGATCTGCAACCTTAACAACTTTAAGACTTGTGGCTGGCTGAGAATTCTGGGAGCTGAAGTCCACAAGTCTTAAAGTTGTCAAGATTGCAGACCCCTGATCTAGAGAGAGACATTACCACCAATTTAAGGTACCTAGAGGGCACATTAAATTACCTTTAATATACCCAGTTCTTTTCACTAAACAATAATCTGTTCAAGATGTTTTAATCTGGATTAAATTAAAATTAAATTAAAGCCTGAGCAGAGGGTTGGACTTGCTATGAAAAGTCAGGCAGCTGAAATAAAATCAGCATTAGTAAGAACTATGCTTATTCCCATCATCTATAGGGTCAGCTATGGCTCCAAAGCAACCACAGCTTTCTCCAGAGGGTCTATGGTGGCTCAATGCCGCTAGCTTGGTGCAGCCAGCTGGGGGTAGCCTTCTCGCCACCACCAAACCCCCCCTTCCAACTCACTGCCACCATTTCTTCACAGGACATCTCAATAACCGAAATTCACTGCGGGGATAACTCGCTGTGGGTGCTAGATGGAGAGCTGGATGAGTGGTTGAGTGGGCTGTCGTTGGGGAGTAGTGATGGGTGGGGAGCTGGATCGAGAGCTGGGGTAATTGGGCAAGCAAGTAGGATGTCAGAGGGTGACAGGGATAGGTTGGTTCTACCTTGAATGCCGAACCAGAAGTTTGGCTGCAGTGGAAAATGGGGAAGAGGGCGGGGAGGCAGTATCAGACAGGGGCTTCCTATTTTGACACAGACACCCCAGCCATTGCCTCTGTGCCTTGGAGTTCTGCTGGATGAAAAACAAGTGAACAGGCTGTCAGAGGAGAGCGTGGCGGTGGCACTGGGCAGGGCACTTCCCATTTTGACCCCCTCATCACTGCCATTGCCTCTGCATCTTGGCTCTGGCCTGAACAGGCAATTTTGTTATGGCAATGTGCTAGGCAAGTTTTTCTAAAGTGCCAATGCCGCAACTTTGAAAGTTTTCTTAAAGTTCTGCTGTTCTGCAATTGCCCTCCCCTGCTGTAGCCGAACTTCTGGTTCAACATTCAGGATGGAGCCAATCTACTGCAGCCATCCTCTGACACCCCACTCCCTTGCCCACCTGCCCGACTTTCCATCCAGCGCTCTACCCATCGCTGCTCCCCTCTGATACTCCGCTCCCTTGCTCACCCACTTGCTTGCCCCCCTCTCTATCTGGCACCACAGGGAGTTATCCCCGCAGCAAATGTCTGGTGTTGAGATGTGAAGAAATGGCGGCAGCAAGTTAGCAGAGGGGACTTGGCAGTGGTTAGAAGGATGCCCCCAGCTGGCCACGTCAAGCTAGCAGCATCGAGTTATCCCATTTCATTCTCCAGGATGGTTCTGTATGCTGTCAAAATGGCAATATATTCTCAGTGTTCAACAGAAATTTGCCTTATAGGCTATATGGCAATGTTCCATAAGTGATAAATCTGGTGATAAATCTAGACACAATGCCACATGCAAAAGCTACTTGAAAAAAAATCCTTGAAATTCCATATTTGAAAGTCAATGCCAATCAATTTCTCAAGTCAGGCATTGCAAACTAAATGAGCAAAACTACATGAATTTCAACAAGGTATCTCTAATGCTAGTCTGAGTAGAAACAGCATTTTGAAAAGTATAAAGTATATTCTCAGCCAGACTTACAGTGAGTAATTAAACATAGGAAAGTTCATTTGGTGTAATGCTTTAAGACTAGATTGCAGGAGACAGTGAATTCTAGTCCTGTTTCAGGCAAGAAACCAGCAAGGTAACTTTGAGCCAGGAATTTGTCCAGACAGTCACCAGAATCTCTTTGAAATATTTTAGAATAGAATAGAGCTGGAAGGGACCTTGGAGGTCTTCTAGTCCAGCCCCCTGCTCAGGCAGGAGAACATATACCATTTCAGAAAAGTGACTGTCTAGTCCCTTCTTAAAAAATCTCCAGTGATGGAATGCCCACAATTTCTGGAGGCAAGCTGTTCCACTGATAAATTCTCCTCACCGTCAGGAAGTTTCTCCTTAATTCCAGGTTGCTTCTCTCTTTGATCAGTTTCCAACCATTGTTTCTCATCCTTCCCTCTTTGGTGAATAACATGACCCCCTCTTCTTTGTGGCAGCCCCTCAAATACAGGAATGCTGCTATCATGTCTCCCCTATTTCTTCTTTTCTTTAGACTAGCCAAACCCAAGTCCCGCAGCCGTTCTTTATATGTTTTAGTCTCCAGGCCTTTGATCATCTTAGTTGCTCTTCTCTGAATTTTTTCTAAACTCTCAATATCTTTTTTGTGATATGGTGACTAAAATTGGCTGCAGTATTCCAGGTGTGGTCTTACTAAAACGGTACTAATACTTCGCGTGATCTTGATTCTATGCCTCTGTTTATACAACTCAGGATTGCATTAGCTTTTTTGGTTGCTGCTGCACACTGCTGGCTCATAGTCAAGCACTAGGACTCCAAGGTCCCTCTCACAGTTACTGTTTTTAAGCCAGGTCTCACCCAATCTGTATTTGTTCCTTTGGTTTTTCCTGCCTAAATGTAAAACTTTGCTTTTCTCCACATTGAAACTCATTTTGTTGGATAGGGCCCATTGTTCAAGTCTGTCAAGATCTTTTTGGATCCTGAGTTTGTCTTCTGGGATGTTGGCTATTCCTGCCAGTTTGGTGTCATCTACAAATTTGATGACTTCCCCTTCTATTCCCTCATCTAAGTCATTGATGAAGATATTGATATTTTCTTTCTGTGGTTCTCATATCTGGTCCGTGTTGTCTCCTCTGCACCTAAACTGCACTCCTTCACTTCCTTCTCATAGTTTCTCACACGGAATCCAATACTTGCAAAGTTTTAATGAAGCTGACTAACAGTGATACACACGTAAATAATTACCTTAGATGATAATGTTTCATGCTATAGTGAGAACCAGAGTCAGAGCAGTTTAAGATAAACCTGGCAATTTATTTCTCGACAAATAAGGAATCCAGCAAGTAAGCAATGAAGATACAAATATTGGCTGCTTCATATTCAACCATAGGCAGAAGAGAGCAGAGCCCTTGTATTTGTAGAAGACCAAGGAAACTAAAGATTTGTCAACAAAATGATAGCAGAACATATACTTCATTGTAAAACAGCTTACATCACAATACTGATTTTCTCCCATAGGTTCAACTGTCTGTACTGTATATTCACTTTCCCCAGATGTCCTTCGTACCCCAAGAGATAGGCCAGTGATGGCGAACCTTTTAGAGACCGAGTGCCCAAATTGCAACCCCAAACCCACTTACGTATCGTCGGGTGCCGGGTGGGCGTGGCCCATTGGCTGGGTGTGGCCCATTGGTGGGCGTGGCTGCGGTGGTAACGGCCGACTGGGCGGGACTAAAAAGTTCAATCAGTTCCAACTTTGCGAGATCTTTTTTTTGCCCTGCGAGAAGTTGAAATTGACTGATTGATTGAACCTTTTTTTTTTTTTGCACATGGCGGTGGAGGCCTAAAGCAAAAAGGTTTTATAAAACCCAGCTGAAGGCCTAGGACTGGGGCAACAGCGCGTGTGCCCACAGAGAGGGCTCTGCATGCCAGCTGTGGCACGCGTACCATAGGTTCGCCACCACGGAGATAGGCGAACCAACAGGCCTGAGCTGGCCTGCTGGATCAATTGATACTACCCCATAGTATACTCTCTCTGTTAATCTTCTTGCAACACACATTTATCTACAGGTAAATCAACTTGTTAAAGAATTCAGTGAGGGTAGATATATTCTGTTTCACCAAAGATTGAAACCCAGAATTGCAGAACTTCCAGAATTGCAGAAAACCAAAACTGCATCTTGGTATTTTTTTGTAAGGTTCTTGACTGAAACAAGATATATGCTACTTACATTTATTTATTAATTTGTCAGATTTGTATTCTGCTTCTTTGCCAACTTTATCCTCACAACAAAAAAACTTGTAAAGTAGGTTGGGATGGAAAGCAGTAATTAGCTTGAAATTATTCAGTAAGCTCCCATAGCTGAAGCCATATTTGAACCCAAATCTTTCTGTTTCCAATTCAATGTCTTATCCATTTATGTTCCTGGAGATATTTGAAATTTGTCAAAGTCATACCTTTTCATTCCCCTCTTTGAAAGCTAACATCAAGTCATCTTTGATTCCTTTCTGGCAATGCTCACAGGTACAGTCAAAATAATACTGTTTTCTCAGTTGCTGCTTTCTGTCTTCACTGACATTGAGAAAGTCTATATAGGAAACAGTCAGCTCTTCTCCTTCAGAGATCTTACTCAATACACGAAGTTCTATCCTGGTTTTAAATAAGATAAGAGGCATTAGATCAATTGCAGCAATTATCTGATTCTATAGATAAGATTCTTAGGAAAGAAACTCTTTAAGGATATATCTTCCCAAGCAACGCCAGGGATTATTTTGTGGAATTTTCTGTCTTCTGAATTAAATATTGTACAAGGGGGAACAAAATTCTGTAATAAGAAAATATCAAATTAATACTGCATACATTTATGGAAATCAAAACCATTTTAATTTTCTTTTACTTTGCGTAATTTATTGAGGAGGATTTTTCTCCATATTCTGGAATTTTCTCTGGCTTTTGCTAATTATTGGTATGGCAAAGCGGCCTTGTCTTCTGACTAAAGAGAAAGTCTCACTCAACAACCTATATAATTCCAGCATGCAGTTTCCAGTTTTGGACAAATTCTCAAAAATTCAAAAGTCATATAAATAATGTTCACTGTCCTTCAATTAAAATTAAAAAAAATTAGACAATTGAATTTTTAGAAAATTAGAATCTATAGCATACTCAAGTGTAGCCTAGAGTATAATTTCAAAAGCATCATTATAAATTTCTGGCTAAATCTTCTCATTTTATTTTATTATACAAATTATCTTTTAATTGACATTTTGTTTCTTACCTTCAGCACACTCACTTAATATTCCACTTTGTAGTTGCTACTTAAAATTACATTCCATATATACTGTAGTTACTGCTTCATATAGCCACAGTTAACCAATAGATAACCTTCAATAAGTGGGTCAGCCAGAATTCATGCTAAAGGGGTGGGCCTCTGTACTTATTTGTGAGGCTGAGGAACAGGTTCAACTGCAGATACTTTTCATCTATTATACTTGCCACCAGCAGATAGCTTCTGGGTGGCATCTGCCAGGTTTGGGCAGGGTGGAACTTCTTAGCTTTAGAATTTGAACCTGAGGAATTCAGCATAATCACATCTGAAACCATGTACATGAAATGCATTGTTCAGAAATAGAGCTGTTATGAAAAATAAGCAAAAGCACACTTACATGCTCATCTATGGATACATTAACCAGGCCATTTCTAAACATTCAGCTTTTGAGCACATGAATATGTTCTTGCCATGCACCCTTGTCATTCCTACTTTCTTCCTTTCTGACAGTAGTGTCACTGGAGATCCTTAAACTGAGGGGCAATTAAATTATGTCTATCCGAACACAAAAAGCAATGCTCCCAAATGTGTAAAATAAAGAATTAGTTTCACTTACATTCTCAATCTTTCTCTTTTTATTCTTTCATAAAAAAATTGGTATGGTCTACATAAATCTCACATACCATACTGGAATTGATTTGGTTCATTCCAGTTTCATTTTCAAATGTTAGCCCACAAGCATTAAGAAATAAATGCTGATTATCTTTAAGTTCCCCATTATCAGATCAGAGTAATACATCTGTTAGCACAAGAGTTTAGCCACGACTTCCCAGTTCATGTGTTCACTTATTTTTTTAGAAAGAATGTTTCTTTATGTGCCACATTAACTACAATTACACTCACAGACATACAGAGACAATCATGCTTTCTTACATCAGCTGTGAAGATACTTGGTTTCAAAATGTGCAGTACCTTCCACTAAGGCAGAGGTGTCAAACTGCTGGCCCGCAGGCCGAACATGTCACAACCAAACCGCGCCCACCCCATTGCTGGCAATGGGAAAAAAGTTCTGATATGTCGCGCGACGTCACATGACGTCGCAAGTTTGATATGTCTGCACTAAGGGCTTTGTTTATAATCAGTTGAATCAAGGAGTAGATTTCTTTAATTTATACAAAGAGATGCAAATAATTCTTTTTTTTATTTAAAAGATTCTTTTGAGAATTCCTGGAAAGTACACAGAATAAATCTCCAAGGATTGTACGAAGATTTGCCAAGAAGGGTCAAAAAACACTTGAAGGGTTTCAGAGGCCAGGTGGTCTTCTTTTTCCCTGTCAGGCCCTCCTGAGATTACAATCAAAAACTTGTCATAGGGTGGAAAATGGGATGGAAGGGATGGCATGCCCAGTCCCTCTCCCCAGCTGGAATTAGTTGTAATCAATGCAACCAAAATTAGAGAAAAGGGTCTCAGGCAATCGGACATCTGTAAATAAGATGAAAGATTGATAGGATTTATTATCAATACAGGCTCTCATGCTGTCACTGCTATGGAAAGGAAAGAGGGAAAAAGAAAATAGTACCGATGTTAAGAAGGATGGGCAAGTTGATCTGATAAGAACAGAGGTGACAATCACAATTAATATTATAGTACTTATTATTATAATACACTACAAAATGCAGGAAGTATTAAATTAAGAGCTGGGTTTAGTGGAATGTAGCTTAGGGATTACAGAAACTGTGGAATTATGTGCCAAACATTTCCAAAGTTGGGTTATTATTGTCTGTGATTCTTCTATACTGATGCAGGATGAGAGAGAAATAGTGAGAGAAGGGAGTATATTATGCTTTCAAGACTGACCCACCTCATCTGGGTGTGGAACAATGATCTTACAGCCTCATGACTGAAAAAAAGAACAAACACCTGCAGTTTTACAAAGATAGAAACACTGGAAAAGCAATCTGAGGCCAGACATTTAGTAGATTGAATGCTTGGAGGCAGCTATACATTGACATGCATGAACAAAAAACAACAGTAAAAGATGCATCTGAAATTGTAGATGATTTCCTCTCTCAAACAGGCTTTGGCTCTAGTGTAGGAATACTTGTATTTCACCACAATTGATTGACTGACTGGCTAGTTCTTCTTGTATCAGGGGAGTCAGAGTTGAAGGCAGTCACAGAGCTTGGATATTCCATCTCCTGGCCCTCTTGGGCTCCCTGCTGCCCCAACCAAGAGACGTTTAGTTTTACGAATAAGGATTTGGTGAAACTAAGCTCCAAGGTTTAATAGAACCTTCCTTTGGCATAAATAGATCAGCTTCAGCATTATAGCATTAGTAGCAGTAAGCAGAACTCTTTTTGTAAGTCTACTCACTATCAGTTAAAAATATACCACATGTACTACCTTACTGAGTTCACTGCAATTATACTACAAAACATCAGTATAAAAAGTAATGCAAGACACAATAAATGTTTTGTCTTTAACTATTTCCACTATCTGATTTCAAATTTTCCTCTAGCACATAATGTTTGCTCATCCGGGCCTTCTGATAGGGTACATAACCACTAAACGTTACTAGAAAGGACAGATGATTGATATTGGACCAGAATAATTTACTTTACTTTTATGTTTTGATCCATCCCAAAACTTATAGTGGAGATTAAACATTACAGGTTTACAAGCAGGTTTCACTGATTCTTATTCTCTTGAAAGGACAAGAGTGATAAGTAGTAACATAGCAGTCTAAAAGGCAGTCTCTACAGCTGGACCAGAGAAAGATGGATCTTTCCACTCAGTAGCTTCTTTGTATTGGTGGGAATGATTTCCAACTGGGTTTTCTCTCCCAGTATCAGTCAATCCATCTCAAAATCTGTATGGGATTTTTTTTCTGGTTATAGCAGAAGACATAACTAGCTAGGAACCTTCCCTTGCTGCTTTCTTTAAGTCCTCTTGTGAATTGACCAATTTCGCATAGCCCTTTCCAAAAGGGATAGCAAAAACAGCAAAGAGCAGCTGCTAGTGCCAGCTCTTCTCACACACCCCTTCTTTTTTTAAACTTATGGCCCCTTAATCAAGAAATAGCCAGGAAAACAGCCCCAGCAATAGAAAAAGAATTGCTAAAGCATAACAGAAGTTTTTCAACAGCATCCTGTCTGTTGCTTTAATTTTTGACATTTCATGGCTTGAGTTCCCTCCTTGCCCAAAGTTCCATTCAGGCATGCTCAGAAATAACACCCCATACAATCAAATGTGACAAATACATCATCCTCTCCCACCATGGCAGAGAGGTTCTACACGATCCTTTTCCCATTCAAGGTAGATGGCATAGTTACAGAGGGAGTCAAAGCCACCAGTGATGTTAAAAATACCAGTCTAATATTCTGATAATCTGACTCATGCTATAGTCTAGCCTTTCTGCATTGTGGTGGTATTTGTTTTTAATCAGCCTCTAGGGACTGTAGGGAGATGTAACAATGCATTGAGATCACCAAAGGAAGTGGAGTGACAGTATATAGTAATTCCTGGAAGGACCTTGGAAGTGGGCAGGTGTTGTGACAGGTTTTAATAAAGTAAATGTCTTAAGCCTATTAAAGTTTAACATATCTATTTAGTTTCTAATTTCTGAAAAAAGATGTCAGAAGTAGTTCCCTGAATGCTGGTGTTTTGCTACTGAATATTGCTAGTGTGATTTAGGGATTTCAGGAGTTGCCAACAAGCATCTGGGAGCCATTAAAAAAAAACCTATGGATTATGAGCTGCTCATCCCTGAGCAATAGCAACATTAACTTAAGTTTTGGTTCTTGTTCAGAATTCACATGCTTCTCCTGCTAGTCACAGTTTGTTTTATGAGGTAGCTAAAATGTATGTACAGCAACATTCAAGAGCAATCACATTTGGTCCTCCAATTCTTATCCCATGATCTTTTTGAGTAGACTTCTTACATTTATTGCAATCGAACACATTATTTATGGAGCAAATTCAGGGAAAATATAGTTGTCACCATCCTTTCTCTAAAAAGATGATATGGTGCTTGTCTTTTCATATACAGTAGATCTAGAGGAGCCTTCCCTATTTTATTGCGTAACATTGTTGGATAGTACAGATTTAAGAAAGATTGATTCTATCTGTTTTTAGAAATATTATCATGATTCTTAATGACTTCCATCAATAGATTGATTACATCTTAGTGAATCAGAACCTCACTGACATTACGAAGTCATGCTAGGAATTTACTTAGTGAAAAAATTATAATTAATAGTTATAGTATTACCTCCTTCAACCATTTTCCTAATTTATTTATCTAGATCCATTCTTGACAATACACCTTGAGTACAAGCCACTGAACCACTTAGTGGCATAGTCTTCAGTGAATAATTTTCAGCTTTCCAAGAACATAGTAAAAGTCTCCTGCATTTCCCATTCATTGAAATGGGACTTCTACAAGATAATGTTCCAATGGGTTCCCCATTTTTCTAGATGAGTTCAGCAATAGCCCTCATATTTTGTATTTTCTGGAAGTGGAAGTCGATGCATTAGAGTTAGGCTACCTTTCCTCTGAAAAGCAGATTGTTTTCTGAAAGACTTTGTTTTAATCTCTGAACAGAAAAGAATGTTGCAGAGAATGAATACTTACTTGCCATTGTTAAAGATGACAGTGCAATTGGGCCAACAATCATGATTCACCAAGCAAAGATTGGGGAAGATGCCTACGCCAACTGCCTGAAGTCCCCTTTGGTCACTCAGGGTGAAACCATTGCAATTGATCTGCTCCCACAAAAACAAAAGTAAGATGGATCAAGAAAAACAATATTTTTAGATCTGTTTCTGTGCCTACAGAGGGATCTATTTCTCAGACAGAATTTGGGAACAGAAATATGAATGAGTTCAACTCATTCCATCTATTAAGATCTATATTAAAATCATCACAAGTTACTAGCCAGGATACAGTATATAGTATATGTAAATTCCCCAATCTCTCACTGCATCTCTTGCATTTTCTTAATTTTCCTAATTCTTAAAATCCTGCAATAGACACATACACAGAAGGGTCAGAATTTGGTCATGCAGTTGTAACTTCTATCTTGCCTTTTTTTTTTTTTTGACAAACTAGATATCAGGGGAGAGTATGACTGATTATCTTCCAACCTCACAAAATTTTGTGAAGGATTCAGATGTGTTTTATCAAGGGCTGTTCTTTTTTCTATTGCTTGGAGGGGAGGGAAATAGCACCACTTGGGCTAAGTAGTTTAAGAACTTAGTGAAGTTGCTGCCCACTCAGTGGATTCCTGATGTGTAATTCTAAAGACCTCAGATTTGCCCCATAAGCCTCCAGCATTTCATCTTTAGACACTCAGTTAATTACCGTCTTCCTGCTGCAAAGGATACCCACAGTGATGTATCAGAGGACCAAGAGCTCCATTAAATAAGGAAGAAAAAGGAATGAGAGGAAGAACTTGTCTTTAAAAAATAAACAGCCATGGGTATTTCAGGAAGCAATAAAGAACAGTAATGTAATGGCAACCTAGCATGTATGTTATCATTTTAGCATCATCTTGGTTTGTTACAGATTATGCTATAAACAGCAAAAATAACCCAAACCCCATCCGTTACCTAAAAGAGTAGAGCTTTTTATAAGAGTTTTATGAAATGCACCAAACATTGTTCCACTGCTCTCTAATTGTGTTCTCACAATTGTGTGCTAAGTACTGAATCATAACTTTATTGAATATAATTGACTGCATTTGCCCAATATGCTCACTATATAGGTAGACTTTGATTTACAGTCATAACTGAGACTGGCAATTACAGTTGAAAGTTATGATGGTTATAAAGTGGGTCATTGCATGAGCATAGTCGATTTTGACTTTTTTGTGATGGACATTAAGTGAACACAATGGTTATAAAGCGAACAGTGTAGTTATTAAGTGAATACCGCAGTTATTAAGCAAAACTATTGTTTGTTATGGGGCTTTTCCTCCCAAAAAACCAGAAATAAAACATTGGTTTCAGGAAAAACTGTAATCATCCAAACTGTTGTGGTCACATGACCATGGGCAATGCAAACCACCATAAATGTGGACTGGTTGCAGGATACATTTGCTTTAGTTGTCCAGGTTCCCTCCCACAATTCCTTCCAGACTTCAACACCAGGGCTTTTTTTCTCATAGAACACCCAGAATGGAGTTCCGGCACCTTTTTTGGATGGAACCTTGTAGGATAGGCAAGGCGGGTTGTATGACGTGTGTGAGTTCTGGCACTTTTTTTTTTTTTTAAGAAAAAAAGCACTGTTCAACACTATATACATACCACACCCAATATGTGGGAGATGTATTGCATGCCAAACTGTTTGCTCTCAGGTGGCCAGAACTCCAGGAAACTCTCCAGATCCATCCGCAGCTCCTTCTTTTCCTCCTCCCCAAAATGTTCCACATGATTTTGTAGGCTGTCAGTGGAAACCAGACACCCTTCAGTAAGGCCACCTCCTTCTCTTTCAATTCTCCACAGGATTCGGGCAGCCAGCCTGGTAGGAGAAGAGTATATAACAGTATATAAGTATAGAAACCTTCCCCCCCCTGCCCCCACCCCTTTTGTTCAAGATTCTGGGAGTCTGCCTCGAATGTCCCTGCAGTTTTCTAGGCAAGATTTTTCAGAATTGATTTGGCATTGCTTCTTTTCTAGGACTGAGAAAAAGTGACCAATCCAAGGTCTCCCAGCTGGCTTTGTGCCTAAAGTAGAATTAAAATTCACGGGCTTCTGGTTTCTAGCCCAGTGCCTTCATCTCTATACCAAACTGTCTCTCAGAAACTATAAAACAAACTGCATACACAAAGACTCTTAGGGCAGCTAAGAGGATTCTGGCTTATGTGTCAGAATATTTCACAACACTTGGTACAATTTGCAGAATCAAGCAGACTCTTCTTTCTAAATTGAGATTCATGTTTAGGTACCCAAAAATAATCTGCAGCCTCTTTTTTTCTGTTAGCGAGAGAAACTGTATAAGTTGTTGGCTCTTCTAAGAAGCAACATCCATTTGGGCTATGTACAGATTTATTTTATAAACTCTTCTCCTTTAAAGAGACATGAAACAGAATTCAAAGATTATGAATTATACAAGTACATTGAATAGTAAACCATTATGTCTGGCTTCAGGGATAGTATCTAGCATCATTCAGTTCTCCTGCACATGTCTGACTTGGGGCTACTAGATATGGGCTGCATCAGCCATCCTGGACTGCAAATATAAAAGGATATCACTGATTGAAAGGCTATGTCCCTGTGATTCTGGAGAGATGGAAACCTCTTTCTTCACTGCTCTTTTTACAGAGACATTCAAACAAAATTTATCTTCCTGATAATTAATAAGTATCCCACTTGTTCTGACTCCATTTATCTTTAATGGTTGCTTGAAGACAAATGGATTGTAGTCACAGCGCAGGTAACTAGATTCTGCACAGCAGCATTAAAGATTCTTCGGAATCTGATGAACAATCCATTATGATTATTGTTGTGTCCTGGGCCTGCTGAGGAAACTCAGCAGGGCCAGAAATGTAGCAAATGGTCCTGGGCAACCTAAAAGCTGCCCGGGACCAGACTGGTTGGCGCCGATCTTGCGCGCAGGCGCAAGGCGCGAATAAAGGGGGATTTATGATTGGATGTTGAGAAAACTATAAAAGGCCTGCAAGCCTGTTGGGTTATTGAGTGGTAACGTGAAACGAATAAAGAAGAACTTGGTTAACAACTTGTGTGTCGCTTCAATGCCGCGAACCCCAATACATAAAAGTTATATTACACAATTAATGCATTGAATCTTTTGGTATTATCACCTTGTTGCATTTTAGTAGCTAGTGACTATAGCCCTTCATAATTTAACAACTAATATTATATTATAATAATAATAATAATAATTTAATTTATATACCGCCCTTCTCCCGTAGGACTCAGGGCGGTGCACAGCATATTAAAACAAATACAAATACAAAATAGAAATATAAACCCCTATAAAACCAAATTAAAAACCAAATATTAGAGCTGTATTATAACTTAGATCATGTTCTTGTTTATGTGCAACTGACAGACAGGATGCCAAATTATGATTTTAACATAGATTTTGTTATTTATTATTATTTTATTCTAGAATTTTAACTAGATGTCCCTTGAGTATTTTTAATTGTACTGTTCTCTGACTGTAATAAATATTTGAGTGGGATATAAAAAAATCTGGATGACCATCAGAGAGCAAGAAATAAATTAAACAATGTAATATTATTAACATCTAATGGCTGCCTAGATTTTTTGCTAGCCATACTTGCTAGCCAAGTCTCCTTTTAAAATATGTTTCTGCCCTTATTTGCACAGGAGAGGGATTCTCTGCTGGTGTGCGAATGTTGAGCCAGTGAAGCAGCATCAGCTGATGGATGGCCTCATTTTTAAGATGTACCCTCAAAAGTGCTAGCCTCTGAAATGCTCACAAGCAAAAGATGAATATAGCCTTTTGTGAGCATGGCTTAGGTTTAAAAAACCATGTTATGACTCAGGGGAAGTCCAATTGTTTCAACTTGCAGGAAGGCCTGAACCATCTTTTGAAGAAATTTTCAAGTGTTATAGTCCATGGATGATAAACTACAGTCTTTCTCTAGCTGTTGAATTACAATCTTTACATCACTAGTATTAAGGGCCACTTTGGTTATGTTGCTTGGTGGACATTTGAAATTTTATATTTACCGGTATATATTGTATATCTTAATGTGATCTGCTGTGGAGGTTTAGGTTTTTTTTAATGTTTTGGTTTATTGATGTTTTTTATGCTCAGAGTCACATTGTTTGAATTAGGCAGCCTTATAAATCTTGTTAATAAATAAACAAATATTTCCCATTGCCCATGCTGGCTGAAATTACTGGGATTGAAGTTCAACTATATTAGGATGGTCAAATCTGCAGAAAAAATATGAAGGCAGCCACACTAATATTGTGCATTAGCGGAGGTTGTTGAGGGTTGTATAGCAAAGCTCCAGAATGGACTTCAGAAGATGGTAGAGGACAGGAAGGACTGGAGGAACGTTGTCCATGGGGTCGCAATGGGTCGGACACAATTTCGCAACTAACAACAATAAGCAAAGCTACATAACCATAAGCCTATTTCCCCTGCCAGGTTAGTAAGCCTTATGGTTGACACAAGTTCTGTGCCACGCTTGTGAACAATAGTTTACCTGTATGCACGAATGGAAAAATCAACCTGAATTTTTCTACAAATATACTCACAGTTGGAAGCCTTTCAGAAAAAACTAACTCTCTAGCTAGAAGCATAGTTTCCATTGAAGTTCACAATGCCTTCTTGTCTCATATATTACAATGGTGTATTTTTATCAAGATCCTATAAATAGGATGCCTGATAAGTGTGGAGTTCCACAGTAGTTAAACCTGAGAGAGTGCATAAATAGCCATTTCAAACATTCTTTCAAGCTGTCTTCCTTTAATAGAATATTAACATGCTCATATAATATTTGGAATGCCTACCTGTCTTTTTAAAAACAACTTTCTCAGTTTTGTGGTGAGCAATGAAAAAGTCAGAGATATACTCCAAATAATTTGCCTTGGCTAACCAATCACCTAATGAGCAACTGCCACAGAACTGAGAATCAAATCCAACAATTATTATAAGATATTATATAGGTGCAGGGCTTTTTTTCTCATAGAATGCCCAGAATGGAGTTCCAGCACATTTTTGGGATGGAACCTTGTAGGGTAGGCAAGGCGGGTTGTATGATGTGTGTGAGTTCCGGCACCTTTTTTTTTTTTTTTACAAAAAAAGCACTGTATAGGCAGCCCTTGTTATTTGCAATGGTTCTGTTATAGTGTGAAAGCGTGGAAATAAAAAGGCCAAGTCAATGGAAATTGGAGGTTAAGTTCCAGAGCCTATGGTTGCCCTTTTTTCAAGTACCCCCGTTCTTTTTCTTCTATTGAAGTCATAGATGTCATATATTTGCTCCTCCTTCTCCTTACTTAATCCCAGCAGATCCTACTGAATCAGTCCAGGTGTGAGGCTCCATATGACTTGAGCACAGGTGTCAAACTCAATCACATCACATGATATATAGTGCCGTATTGTGACTTTTTTTGCCTTTGCAGCACTGGGGTGGGTGTGGCTTGTGCATGACACATCCGGCCCATGGACCGCCAGTTTGATACCCCTGGACTTGAGGGATCCATGGTGTTCTCTGCACTTAGTTGTTTTCTTGCAGACATTTCATTACCCAAACTTGGTAAAATCACCAGTGCTAGTCATCACCATCACTGATGATGTTACCTAGTTTGGGTAATGAAACATCTGCAAGAAAACAACCAAGCTCAGAGAGCACCAAGGACCCCTCATTTCAACTCTGAGCTATAAATATTCTCCTTTATTGGTTTGATATGACTGGTCAATTGACTGCAGAAACTGGTCAATTTCTTGGTTATGGAAGAAGTTACATTGTTCATACCACTTGGTTTATAATGATCTCCCTGCTCGGCATGGTTTTTCCAAATCTCAACAGAGGGGCCTCTTGATCATGCTGTGGAAATCAGTAACGTTCACAGCCTCTAGAAGATCCACACAGCTCACTGTAACGACAACTAGTGGTTGAGATAGTCCTGTGTCCTCTGAATCCTGCAGCTACAACACTGATGTTTCCTACCATTCTCCAGAAGCAGTGCCAGCTGTAATCACCAGCTCTCTGAGCAGGGACTTCAGAGGAAAAAGAACTATACAGTCATTGAGCTATAAGCATCCTGTGGATAGAAGCAGCATCCCAACAATCTCATATGAATCTCTCTCAATGTCATCTTCCAGAAGACCTTTTCCTGATCCTTCCACCTTCTAAATGTTGCTGGACTAGAAAAAGGCCTTTGGAATGTTTTTGCCCATTCACTATAACATTCCTATCCATCAATCACTGAAATTATCTCAATTTATGCAGTTATTTATGGTTTCAGAAAGAGAGAAGCCTTTACATATGCAACTGAACCTACTGTATGTTGATTTCTGTATGAGCCAGGAGCCTTTTTTAACAGGCAAAAAACACCAATTGTATATTGTGAGGAAACAGTGTTGAACTTGATGTGGGGACCTCATTTTTTATGTTGGAATGGGAGTAATGGTGAAACTATATATGTGTGACATTTTCATAAAACCCCCTGGGGAATTCTTTTTAAAAATCTGCTTTATATACTACAATTTAGATGTATTTTACATCTTTTTTCATTTTTACTTGTTTTATTTCTCTTTGTAGGTTTAAATGAATTCTTTAACATCAAAAGAACTCTTTAAAAATTGAAGCTGTAAACTGAAAGGAGACCAAGAAATATTTTAGACAAAATTGAACAGATGGAAATGCAACAGCAATAAAAGAATTCATGAGCATCAACAACGGAGTAAATGATAAAATAATTTTGATGCTCTATCTCAAAATGCTGACACTTGTTCATTTGTGTTGGACTGCAAATATGTAATTGTAATGTTCCTATAATTTCGCTGCACATATATTGTCAGTTTCACATTGTAATACTTTGATTTGGATGCAAGCATACGTTTCATCATTTCATCACCATCATTTGGACCATAATATTCCAGAGAAATGGGTCTTCTCCATTGGCACTACAATGGGTGAAATTGTGAGGATTGAGCAATCACTACAACTAGAAAAATATTAAAACACTGTCTTCCATTTTAATAATGGAATTCAATGCCTCCTTTCATTTCATGCACACAGAAAAAAAAGAAGCAAATTAGAATAAAACATTCAAGAGGATAAATGGTAATTTTTGCCAAATAGACTTTCCTTCCAGAGAAAAGGGATTAAAAAGTGTCCTGCATTTCAACTTGCTTGAACCTTGAACAAAGCTGTTGTTTAAGCCATAAATATTTCATTACAAACTCATTAGTTCTCACTGCTGATCCTTTCACCTGATGTTTTCATTTGGGGCTACCCCACGCTTTTTGATAGCAGAACATTCACTCTTGTGATCCAGCCAGGCATCCTTCTGGCAGGTACGATCACAGTAGTGGGCAAACTTGCACTGGCCACAACGATGGAGTTTCTCATGCCTCTTGAAGCAAGTATGGCAGACAAGGTGCGTGAGGCTGAAAGGAGGAAAACAATGCCTTAATCATCACTTGGAAATTGCAGTTCATCTCTTAATTAATAAGATTCCACAGCATGCTCCCAGATTTTCCAGTGCCCATTTTCAAAGACATTATGCACACGCGTGCGTGCACTCACACACACACACAAACACACACTAATTTCCTTTTTCCATTTATTCCCTACCTTTCTCAAGAGCTCAAGGCAGTCTCCTCTAATTTTATTCTCCTTATTTAAAAAAAAGTCAAAATGGTCGATACTCCTGTTTATAACAGTGAGCAAGAAAACTGTGCGTTGGTTGGGCTGAAACATAATGACTGGCCCAAAGTCAGCCATGGTTGAGGGTAAACTTGAGCCTTGGTTAACCTAATCTTAGTGTGAAATCACATCCACTTCACTGGCAAAATATTTGCTTTGGCAGATAATTTTGTGTCCAAGGCATAACATTATTTCATCAGCAAATGCAGCCTAGGACTACATTGGCTTTTTATGTGGTGGTCCACTAGGACACTTAGATACCTCTCACAGTTACTACTGTTGAACCAGATATCGCCTATTCTATTCTTATGCATTTGGGGGGTTTTGCCTTAATTTTCTCACCACTGAACTCCATCTTATTGGATAGGGCCCAATGCTGTCAAGATCTTTCTGAATCTTGAGTCTGTCTTCCAAAGTGTTAGCAATTACCCCAGCTTGGTGTCATCTCCAAATTTCACGAGTTTCCCTTCTATCCCCACGTCTAGGTCATTTGTAAAGATGCTGAAGAAATCTGGGTCCAAGACCAAACATTGAGGTATCCCATTGCATGCTTCTCTCCGTATAGATTTAGTTCCAAGTATCCCTTCCAAGTATACTACATTCACAGCATTTTGTTGATCCACTAATTTAGTTTATCAAAAAAAAAAGACAAGATTTATCTAGCATGATCTGTTTTTAACAAAACCATTCTGGCTTCCACTAATCACTTGTTTGTTTCTAGGTGCTCACAAGTCCTCTACTTGATTTTCCCAGGTAGAGATGTCAAACTGATTGGCTTCTAATTTCCTGAGTCCATTATTCCTCCTTTTTATAGATTGCTACTGTATCAATTCTTTTCCAGTACTTTGGTATTTCTCATTTGCTACATGAGCTTTGAAAGATTACATTCAGTTGCTCCAAGATTATACCTACCGGCTCCTTCAAAATTCTAGGATAAACCATCTGGCCCAAGTGATTTGTACTCATCTAAAGTGGATAAGTATTCTCTTACTAATTCCTAATCTATTTTGAATTATATACCTGTTCAATCTCCCTCTAATAGGTTGGGCTTTTTCTTCATTTTGCATAAAAAACAGATGTAAATAAGAAATTAAGCAGTTCTGCTTTCTCCCTGCTGCCTATCACCTTCTTCCATCTGCTCCCATGAGTGGACTTATTGTTTCTTTGACTTTCTTCTTGTTCCTTACATATTGAAAGAAACATTTTTTTATTATTTTTGGCATTGGTTGGTAGTTTTAACTCATTCTGAGCCTAAGCTTTTCTGAGTCCCTCCTTGCAGATTCGGCCTGTTTGTTGGTATTCTGCTTTAGTTATGTGCCCCATCTTTCCATTTCCTATATTTGACCTTTTTTTACCCTCAGTTTGTTAGAGAGCTCTTTATGGAACCATACTGTTCTCATCTGGTGTCCAGAGGTAAAATCAGCACTTAAACCTTTGGCCTTCCAAAAGGACCTTGAAATCTGGCTCTGCCAATTGGCCAGGGTCCCAATGGGGACATGTCATACTGGAGATGGTTAATGGACTGACATAAAACTCCACCTCTACTCCATTTGTGCATCTTGCTCCCTTTCTTGGCATCTTTATTAATTTTAGGTAAATATTTGATATTTATTATTTTAATATTTTATCTTGTTTTATTTGGTTATAAGCCACCTAGAGTTGGCGAGTTGGCGAGATGGGCAGTATATAAATTTAATAAATAAATAAATAAAATCAAAAATCTTTCCTTTCAGAATAGATGTTTGTTTTTTTATCTCTTGATGGTATAGTTTGATCCAAATTACCTTTAACTCTGTATCTTTTGCTGTGATGAGAAAGTTGAGACACTACTTTCATGATCTCATTTTGTGGTGAACTAATCTCCAGCCCTCTTTCTGAAAGTTTGCTGTAGCACCCTTAGGGTCAGAATCAAATAAAAAAACAAACTCATTGAATTGCTTTCTATAAGCAGGGTTGCTAATGGTGGGATGCCTACAGCATTCCTATAGCAGAGATACTGGTCTCTCTTATAAATTCTAACGGTCCACTTAAAATGGGCATTCTGCCATTTCTTGAAGTTGGTTATCTGTCTTAACAGCTCTCTGTATGACATTTAATGAAAGGAAGAACAAATACAGAAGAATAAAAGACACTTTCTCCATGCTTTTCTTCCTATGGTTCAAATATGATAAGGTCATTGTGTTAAGACAAGGCCAAGTCCGATGACAACTGAAGTGTAAACCAGACTCTCAGCTTAAAATGGCTTTTCCAATTGCTCTGGAGAAACCACATAAACCAGGCAGAATCCTTATGGCATGCACTATGCAAGGCTGACATCAGTCTGAAGTACCTGACTGGTTTCTATCAATTGTCAAGTCAGTGCTGTGAAAAGATGCTGCAGAGTTTGTTCTCCTTATAAGGAAACAAGGAGACAGAAGTCTGATTAAAACAGCTTTAGCTTCTTTATGTTCAAAATAGAAAAAAAATGGAACTTTGATTTTAAGTTTTAATGATTAGATTAGATTAGGTCATGTTGTTATTGAAATGGTTTGTATTTACTAGAAATGTAAAGCAAAAAGTTGAGGCTGTTGTACTGAAAAGAATTGGAAGTCATTCTTTTCTTTTTCTCTTTTTACCATACACTCCTTTCCCCTTTCCTTTTTGATCTGTATTTCCATTTGTATTTTACAGTATAATAAACGCTAATAAAAACACTTATAGCTGAATTAATCTGTCATAGGATGGCAAATAGCAACATTTTTCAGGAAATAAATCCCATCAGGCTCATAGAAACTGCAAATCTGTCTACCGGAGGATAAATTCCATTGAACTTACTGGGTGGCTACAGTCTTGTGAAAAAGAAAGTACACCCTCTTTCAGTTCTATGATTTTATGTATCAGGACACAGTAAAAATCATCTGGTCCTTAGCAGTTCTTAAAAGTAGATAAATATAACCTCAGATTAACAACACATGATATATTACAGAATGTCATCATTTATTTTATAAAAAGAAAACCAAGTTGTATTTACCTGCTTACCTAAGACCATAATTTCCTGGCAGGACTAAAATGAGAAAATACAGTAAATCAAGTAAAAAAAATTCCAAGCTCGTTCTAGACTAATACAGTATTCTGAATCCCATAGGAACCAATCAACTTTCAGGAAATAGGACAAAACAGTTATAGCCACGATGATGCTTGTCAGTAGCTGGCATGTTGCCTGTGATTCAGGATATAATATACTGCCATCAGGACTGTGGCCATTGCTAGACTGAACTACCTTGAATTTATCCATAGTCTGTCTCTGCCTCAAAAATGATTCAGAAAGGTATTTTGGAACATGGAGGACTGCAAGGGCAGCACCTCTTTAGAGCAATATCTTTTTAAAGTCTTCCTCAAGAACCTGAAGAATATAGCCTTAGGGGTGTTTTTGTATTGTTTTTTTTTCCCTGGCTTTAAATTGGTGACTATCATCCCATCTGCTAGTCACAGTTAAGGTATGCATTGTACAGGTAGTCCTTGACTTACAACCATTAGTTTAGTGACCATTCAAAATTACAATAGCACTGAAAAAAGTGACTTACAACTGATCCTCACGCTTACATCCATTGTGACGTCTCCATTACCACATGATCAGAATATCGGTGCCTGGCAACCGGCATGTCTTCACAATGGTTGCAGCATCCCAGGGTCATGTGATCACCATTTGGGACCTTCCTCAGCTGGCTTCCAACAAGTAAAGTCAATGGGGGAAGCCAGATGTGCTTAATGACCATGTGATCCACTTAACAATTGCAGTGATTCCCTTAACAATCATGGCAAAAAAGGTCATAAAATTGAGTGTGACTTATTTAACAATGCCTTGCTTAACAATAAAAAATTTGGTCTCAGTTATTCTTATAAGTTTAAGACTACCTATGTAAAGATGTGCTTTTTTTAATTGGTCCTAAGCTTTTCTGACCATGCCCTGTAACATTTTATAAGAGGAGTACATTTTTCACACATGGTAATATTTTATACATTGTAAAACAAATAGTATAAAGTTTTACAGCATAGGGTTGTTGTTTTTCCCTCATTCCTTTTTCCCCAACACCTTACCAAAAATTGTCTCTAATAATTTATACTTTCCAAAGCGAACCATCACCCAACCACCAGTCTGGCTTGGAAAGGGTGTTTCCCAGCAGAGGATCCTATGAGAAGAAAGGAAGAAAGGATGCATTTTCTCTTTCTCTTCCTCCTAGTCTTTGCCCTGGGAAAAACAGAGATCCAGGCACGCTGCAATTGTCTGCCAGGTTCTTCCAGGCTTGCTAGAATTATCATTGCTGCAGAACAATGACAACAAAGTCGGGAAGCAAAGTCCTCTTTTCTTCTCACCATTCATTGCTGGGCCAAAGTAACATTAATGAGGACTGTCTTTATATCATTTCAATGATGGGTGGGTAATACTAAGCAGATGCTGTAATGTAAAAGGGCCTAGCACTTTAAATGACAGAGGGAATGGTGAGGGTGACCTTGCTTTTCCTTCTACTTCTTAGATGCATACACATATTAGATGGACACTATTTTCTGTTATATACATAAACACGATTATACTGTGGTTTTTGCACAGGAGCATTGTTAATCTTTACTGTATTATTTCAATTTTAATAAATGCATTGCCAAAAGGATCACATTGACCCACAAACAATTCCCAATACAGCTAATCTGAGATGGAATTTGCTTTTGAGAATTGAAATATGATATGGGGGGAGGAGCGAATGTTAAATTCTATCAATCATCAAAGAGTATACTGGGCTAATTTCCCCAATTTATTGTTCTCCAGCTGTGTTGGCATGACAGAATCAATGTTCTCACACCTCCAGAATGTTGCTATTGAAGCGTCTAGGACTGGATCTCCAACATACCTGGATATACAAAATGTATAACATTTGCCTTCTCCAACTGGAAAAAGCTACTATGTCTGCAGACATTTTTCTCAATGAGAAAACTGCAGATCTATCTTCTAGCTCAACTGTGTAAAGACCTCATAAATGTCTGAAATGAAATCCACCATAATCACACATGCCCTTTTCCAGGATTTAGTTGCAAGGACTCAAGAGGGATAAAAATAACAGTGGACTGCAAAATTGCATCAATTGTACCGGTAGTCATGGAAGTGAAACTATTACTTATGAAAATATTTTAATAAAGCAAAACATAATTGTTTTGAAGACAAGTGAACAGCAACCAGAAAATTGTTGTTATATAACAATAATGACTTCCACTCAACAATATCCCTAGCAGCTACAGTTTCAAAGTTATCTGTAAAGCTTATTGTCATGTATAGTGTATTAGAATGATCTAGATGTATAATAATGAAGACCTGAGTCACTATAATCAGGGCTTCTTGGTTCATGGTTCAGATATGTCTGCAATTGATGCAGCAGCATAGCTGGTTTTCACTTACTCTTCAAGTCATTGCCTTGAGTCCAAGCTGTGACCATTTTCTTCAGATGGGAGATGACCCCATTCAGATTATTCTAAAACAATTCAATTATTTTAACAAGCCAAGATATTTCTGGAGAAACATAAATCCATTTCTGCTGGATTTCAGACATAGCTTCTGTTTGGTCTAACCTGCGGACACTAGATTTCTACAGACTTTTTTTGCAAGACTTAAGATATCCATTTTGTCAACTAAACTGCTCCCTGTTGCCCTCTTTAAAACAATAATTCTAGAATTCTGCCCTTCTCCACTCAAGCAATTTAGTGGCATGCCTTCTGCAGTTCCTTTGAAGTCTGTAGACCAAATAATTATTTTCTTAAAGAAAGAAAACCACATGAAAGGTGAGTTTAGCTTCTGGAAATCAATTAAAATCATAAAATAATAGAGCTGGAAGGGACCCAACAGGTCTTCTAATCCAGGGCTTTTCAACCAGTGGTACGGGTACCACCTGTGGTACATTGGCACCTGGCAGGTGGTACGCAACCATCCTAGAAAAGTGGTAGTGGGGGAGGGGAATGAGCTGAACCGGTGGCAGTACCGTACAAGCCTGAGCGAGAGATGGCTGGAGCTGCAGGGCTGTCAGGGCTCAGCGGAAGCACCAGGATCAGCGCTTCTTCAGGGCTGTCAGGGTTCAGTGGAAGCGCCAGGATCAGCTCCAGGCTCCAGCTGGAGCTCGGTGCTGATCCTGGCACTTCTGCTGAGCCCAGAAGAAGCACCAATCAGCTGGAATGTTGCAGCATCTCCAGGGTCTTGTGATTTATATTCAGATGCTTGGCCACTGATTCATAATTATGACGGTCACAGTGTCCCAGGGTCATGTGAAATGACCAAAACCTGCTGCAACCACCCAGCAGATGGGGAGGGGGAATAAAAACCAAACACCCCCACCCCATCCCTCTGCCAATCCTCAACAGAAATGCTCACAACAATGGAAACCTCAGACAGGAGGAAGAGCGCAGCCGGGTGGGTAGGCAGGTGTCTTGCTCGGCTATGGCTTGGGGGGCACTTTTTTCAGTGCCATTGTAACTTCAAATAATCATTAAACGAACTGTTGTAAGTCGGGGACTACCTGTACTTTATCACTTTTTTCCTTTTTTGGGGGGGTCATCAAGTTTTTGACACCTTGCTAGGCGACTGATGGTACTCGGATGTTGCCATATCCTAAAAGTGGTACAATGGGTGAACAGGTTGAAAAGCCCTGTTCTAATCCAACCCCTGGCAAGAGTCTTATACCATCCCAGTCAAATGGTTGTCCAGTCTATTCCTGAAAACTTCCAGTGATGGAGCACCCACAACTCTAAGAGGCAAGTGATTCCATTAATTTCTCACTGTCAGAAAATTTGTCCTTACAGGTTAGATCTCTCTTTGATAAGATTTCACCCATTACTTCTTGTCCTGCCCTTAGTGCCCTATAGAATAAATCAAATCCCTCTTCTTTGTGTTAGCCCCTCAAGTACTGGAAGACAGCTACCATGTCCCCCCTAATCCTTTTCTCCAATAAGCTAGACATGCTTAGCAACCTCAACTGTTCATTGTATGATTTAGCCTTCAGACCCTCTGTCAGTTTTGTTTCTCTTTTCTGCATCCTTTTGAGAGTCTCAACAATTTTTTTTGTATTGTAATGACCAGAACTGGATGCAGTGTTTCAGGTGTGGTCTCACCAGTGCAATGTAAAGCAGTACTGCCACTTCTCATTGCCTTGACGCTATCCCTCACTGCAGTTCTTCACTAGGCTATATATTTGAAGAAAATGTTCCAATGGACATCCAAAGGTTTCATGTCTAGGAAAAGTAGCAACATTGAATAGCGATGATGATGGACGAAGCTAGCTTAGCTACAGCAGTGATTCCAAAGCTGAGGAATTAATGTACACTGCTCCCTTTCCTCCCAGCCAAAGGGAAAAGGCTCAAGGAGATTCGAGAGGTTGAACTAAAGAAGCAAAATAGCATGCCTAAATATAGCACCAGGACCCAAGGAGAGCACTGAGAGAGCCTCTATTACTATTCACATTTGGAGGAAAGGGGCTAAAGGAAAATTTAGTGCTTTACTATATAGTGGCCTGAGTTGATGGCAAAGCCAGTGTTGTTGATCCTACATCATTTTTGCAGTTCAGCATATGTTCCCTATGAAAAACCAATTTCCTCTTTTAGATTTTGTTAGTAAGAAGATGCAATATGGGTATACTAGGAATGGCATCCCTACTGTCATTTCAGGGACACAACTTGTCCAGCACTGGCCACATCCAAAAGCAGGTAAGGTAAGACTAGCATATTCCTCCAGATTGCTGATTAAGCAGGGCTCCAGGTCCTACAGAAATCTGTGAACAAAGTAATCTAGCTAAACAGGCTTCCCTATTTCATATATCCATAATCACCTATGGATTATAAAACAGAGGGACCCACCAAGGTACAGTCCTACAACTAAGGCACTTTCCACCCACATTGTCTGTGCATTCATGATAAATTAAGAAGTGATAGTCATCCAGTAATTCTTGGAGAATCTACTTGAGATCTTATGCAAATTTAACTTCATATTCTGATTTTTTAAAAAAGGCCAGGAATTTAAAGCATCCTTTTTAAATTTTAGAGAAGAAGGGATCTGGAGGGAAGCCAATAGGGAAAATATTTTATGAATCTTATTCTCATCATTTTGTATTAATAATATCTGAGTAATAGCTATTATCAATGAAACTGCCAGTAAGAGCTTCTGGATACACCAGACTGCACAATCTCAGTTGATTGTTGATATATGTACTCATATAGTACCAATAAGGTGTTAAATGTTCTTCTGCATATACCCTGAGCATATTATGCTATTGCATGGTTGTGGGGAGGGGTTATCTGAGCCTGACAAGCAGTGATTTTCTAAAGGTACACTACAGCTTCCAAGTCAGAGATGAAAAGAGGAATCTCTTGTCTCACCATTGTTCCAGAAAACTAACTCTGTCTAAGAAGTCTCTTCCTCAGCTACTCCTATTGTCTCATCCGTGAGTTGGACAAGGAGTCCTAACTTTCTCCCTGATTATGACATGATGAATAATATCTCTCTTGTACCATCTCTCTCTTTTCACTTCCCACTTGCTTCTTAACAATGCACACAGCAGTTTTCCCTGCTTACCTGTCAAATACCACTGCAGAATAGGCTCGCTCTGCAAAAATTACATCTCCAGCCCAAAATTCTTTTGTTGCTTTCAGTCCCCTGCCTTTGCCTTCTGGATTGAAGACTTCGACTGTTTCCATGCCTCCTTTTTCTATATCAGGACATCTAAGCTTTTCACACAGGAAGGTTCCAAATGACTCAGATTTTGTGTCACTCCTGCTCTTTAAAGACTTCCCAACTTTCAGAGAACCAATCCTATAAATGGGCAGTCTTAGGACCTCCCAAATAGTACCCTTCCTCCGTAGGGAACAGGAAAGCCTTATTTTTAAGTTCATCAAATGCCTTTGCAGAGAGAAAAGGAAGGTTGGCAACACACTATCAGGGTTATCTTCATGAAACCCTGAGTAAAATTCTATTACTCTTGGAAAAAATGGTCATGCAACAGCTACAACATTCAATTTACTGTCTCCTATTGGGAAGTTAATGTGTGTTCTGGCAAGTATTTTTAGAAGCCAGATGCTTCTGCCTGTCAGAGATCAACAGCTGAGTATCTGCTAAGTGGCATGACTGGTATGCGGTGTCTATTAACATTTAATATTATCTGCTCTCCTTTTAAAAAAAATAAACAATGATGCATTTATTTCATATGCAATCAGAGCTATACTAGGTTGAAATTTAAAACCAGGAGCTGAAAATATTCCCTGGTAGACAATGTAGTTAGGTCCCCATCTGAGAAATGTGTGAAAGTAAAGTATAAGAAGCCAGAAGACCTTGCGGGATTCACTTTCCAAAACGATAGTAACAGCTTTTGTTATGTTTTGCCTACCAAAACATAAAAAGTGTTACTTATGTTGTAGTAAATACTAAACTACACTAAATATAATATTATTCTATACTAAATAAAAGTAACATTTTGTGCTGAACTTCTGTACTAAGGGAAGTCAAATTTAATCACACTATAAGGTGAATTCCATTGCCTGGGAATAGAAATTAAAGTTACTGTTGAAATATGTAACTTTTATTGCTTTGTAAATTTATTTTATACCTAATAATAAAGAGAGGAAGGGAATAAAGGATGATTTCAATCATCCGCCATTAATAAAAGTCTGATTTTTGTAATTCCTGTTATTTTGATTATTTCACTGGGCATTTTTGCAATTGTAAGAACTGGAATGTGTCATTAATTCATGCAGTGGTCATTTCTAGGAAAGCAAGCTTTTTAAGACATGTTTTAAATTGGCACACATACATTATGTAATTAATCTCTAAATTAATCCATTTTATCTCTGATAAAGAAGGCAATTTCCCTCCCCTTGAAAGGATTTATCATCCAAGAGAGGACTGGAGACTTTTATCTTTGAATTTTTAGCAGGTGGTTGAAGGAAAGGAAATAATTTAGACATTTCCCAGATTGTGGGGTAAAATTTTCTAGGGTTCAGGAAAGAATCCAGTGTATCCAGATTTCTAGATGCAATAAGTATTAGTAGGGAACTGTAGTGCTTCAAAAAAGGTGCTTCAAAGAGAGTGGGGAGCTAACATAGCACTTATTAGTAACTCTCTTAATGCAGCTACCGTGTTTTTCCAAAAGTAAGACCCAGCCCAATAGTAAGCCATAGCTTGATTGGGGGGGGGGTCAAATATAAGCCCAACTCCAAAAGTAAGCCTAGTTTTGGGGTGAGGAGCACCCCCAAAAATCAAGCTAGGACAGGGCTAGGGGGGTGAAGCTGCCCCATACATACCGCACCCATTTACTTTACTGGTAGGACGACCACAGCCAGGACTCCCACACCCTGACACCTGTCACGCTGCTGTTTGACTTCTTCTGCAGCCATTTGCTGCCACTTGCCGCCAGATGCCATGTGGCGCATTGCGCCCTTGCCACTGCTCGCAGCAGGATGCCACATGGTGCTTTGGGCCACTTACACTCTTCACACACTTTGAGCCGTTTCTGCTTGCTCATGCAATGCTTCAGGCCGCTTCCACTCCTCACACATTTCAGACCACTTCTGCTTGCTCGTGCAGCGCTTCGGGCTGCTTGTGCTTGCTCACACAGTGCTTCGGGCCAAAGCACCACGTGTCCTCCTGCTGTGAGCAATGGACGCAGCCTGAAGTGCTGCGGGAGCAAGCACAAGCAGCCTGAAGCACTGCACGAGCAAGCAGAAGTGACCTGAAGTGTGTGAGGAGCAGAAGCGGCCCGAAACACCATGCAGTGTCCTGCCGTGAGCAGCAGCAATGGTGCAATGTGCCACATGGCATTCAGTGGGAAGTGGCGGGAAGCGGCCACAGAAGAAATCAAGCAGCAACGCGACAGGTGTTGGGATGTGGGAGGCCTGGCTGTGGTGGTCCTAAGGTAAGACACTCCCCCAAAATAAAACCTGGTACCTCCTTTGGAGGCAAAAAAAAAGAAAAAAAGACTGGGTCTTACTTTCAGGGAAACACGGTACATCTTTTCCTAGTGGAGAGCGACTATGTAGCACCTATTAGTAATTCTTTAAATAGCTGCATCTTCTATTAGGATTGCACACTTGTCTCTGTATAAACCTGGGAAAATGTGTTTGTTTTAAGGAGGTGTCAGCACTTGTTATATATGTCCAGGTACACACTAAAGCACTTTCTTCCATTTAATCAGAAATCCATCTTGGTATTGTTGTTTTTTTTAGCAAGAGCAAGAGCACTTAGTCTTATAGTGCTTTACCTTTCTAGATGCATGGATCAGTGGTGATGGGGATGGTGGAGGGGTGGGGGATGGTTTCATACATGCAACTTAATCCCACCCATGTGCACATGAAGTTTCGCATGCTTGTCTGCCATTCATATTGCCCGGTTCCCAGTGGGTTGGGGACTCCTGCTTTACAGCACTCTCTGAGCAGTTTACAACATCAGCATAATGCCCCCAACAATCTGGGTCCTCATTTTACCAACCTCAGAAGGATGGAAGGCTGAGTCAACCTTGAGCTAATCAGGATCGAATTCCAGGCTATGGGCAGAATTAGCCTGAAATACTGCATTCTAATCTCTGCGCCACCATGGCTCTTTTAATTCTAAGTGTATTCACACATTGCTAAATTTCTTTCACAGCTATTTTTTTTCCATTCTGGTTTAATCTGCACTCTTTACACCCTACCTACTTTTTTTCATAGCTGCTCTTTGAATTCTTTTGTCTCTGAGCCTAACTCTCATCTTTATTTTGGCTGTTCTTCTAAGAATTTAAATTCCAGTTTAAACAGATATTAATGATCCCAGTTTACAGCTCTGATGGAGAGTTGTAATATGGTAACATACCTGTGAATGCCTAGTAGGCCATTTTTGATTGACTACTAAAATACTGGGTATACATTGTCCTATCTTTTCTCAAACAGCAGGTGGGGTAGTAGTTTTCCTTCTTTTACCTTGTTCTTATAACTTGTAGCAGCAATAGTTTGCAGTGGTAAGTTAAAGCAACAATTGCAGCAACAACCAGGCTATCCTAGCTATTTGGAACATGTCCAGCAAGAAGCAATCTTGCTAAAAATTGCCTATTTTAGCATCTATTTGTTTACTTATTTCATATATGCACATGCTACCTTTTCTGCTAAACTGGTACTTAAGAAGAGGGAGTCAAGCTATTTTCCAAAGCGCCTGAAGGCAAGACAAGAAGCAACGGAATGAAATTAACCAAAGAGAGAAGCAACCTAGAACTAAGGAGAAACTTCCTGACAGTTAGAACAATTAACCAGTGGAACAACCTGCCTCCAGAAGTGGTGAATGCTCCAACTCTGGAAGTTTTTAAGAAGAGACTGGACAGCCATTTGTCCGAAATGGTATAGGGTTTCCTGCCTGAGCAGGGGGTTGGACTAGATGACCTCCAAGGTCCCCTCAAACACAATTATTATTATTATTATTATTATTATTATTATTATTATTATTATTATTATTATTATTATTATTATTATTATTATTATTATTATTATTTAGAATAGAACCGGTTGTTCAGGTATTTGAATCTCACCACTGATTGAAGCTAATATTTCAGGAAGGCCTGACTAGCCTACAAGAAAGACCAGATGAAGAACAGAAAAGAGGCATGGGAAGGCAAAGCATTACACAGCTAGTACATAAGGAAATAGCAGGGAAAACAGATAATAACAAGACCTGGCAATGGCTAAGAGCAGGAAGGTTGAAGAAAGAGACAGAGGGCTAATTCTGGCTGCACAAGACCAAGAACAAATACATACAAAGCCATAATTGAGAAGACAGCAACAGATAGCAAATGCCACTTCTGCAAAGAAGCTGAAGAAACAGTAAGTCATCTGGTAAGCTGCTACAAGAGGATTGCACTGATTGACAACAGCATGACAAAGTAGCAACAATGGTACATTGGAAGATCTGCAAGAAATATCATTTGGCTATAAGCAAGAACCAGTTGGATAATAAAATAGAGAAAGTAATAGAAAATGAAGCTAAAGTGCTCTGAGACTTTAGAATACAAACAGACAGGCACCTTCCATATAACATTCCAGACTTAATAAATATCAATAAAAGGACATTTATTGGACGAGGCTGGTGGACAAGGCAGTACCTGGAAACAGAAGAATGAAAGAGAAAAAACTGGAGAAGATAACAAAACACAAACACCTGCAAATAGAAATAGAAAGACTGTGGCAAAAGAAAGCAAAGGTTGTACCAATAGTCATAGGCGCCTTGGGTACAACCCAAAACAACTGGAGCACACTTGAATACCATCAGCATTGACATATTCACTATCAGTCAATTGCAAAAGTCAGCTTTACTAGGAACAGCTTACATTCTATGATGATACCTCTAATACCACAAAATACCAACATCTGCCTATCCCAGATCATTGGGAAGGACTCGATAGGTGGATAAAAATGCCAAATCCAGTCTGTGGGTTAGACAGAATCACTACCAGATGGATTCGTAGCTGGCTGACCGGCTGTACTCAGTGTGTGGTCCTCAATGGAACTGCATCTACATGGAGGGAAGTGTGTAGTGGGGTGCCCCAGGGCTCTATTCTGGGCCCAGTGCTCTTCAACATCTTCATCAATGATTTGGATGAGGGGATAGATGGGGAACTCGTCAAATTTGCAAACAACACCAAGTGGCAGGAATAGCCAACACTCCAGAAGATAGGCTTAAAATACAGAAGGATCTTGACAGACTTGAACATTAGGCGCTATCTAACAAAATGAAATTCAATGGTGAAAAAAGTGAGGTTCTACATTTAGACAAGAAAAACCAAATGCACAGGTACAGTATATATATATACACATTATGAGCATGAAATGCAAAGACTTATCACTATTATTCCATTTGATCAATTCAACACTTAAAAATTGAGATGTGAAGTATTTCTTTTCATCTTTCATAATTCAACTTTAAAAAAAAAAGTATATCCATTGTTTGGTTACTAAGCCTAAAGCAATTTGAGATTAAGCCAC